ATCCTCAAGCAGGGCAGACAGGTTGGTCGGCGTTCCTGGCGCTCCTGCCTCTTCCATCCCTGTCCCACGAGCTTCATTTTCCTTCTCTGACTTGTCCAGATCATCCCCAGGTTTTTTCCCACTCTTCCAGCAGTTTGCAGGCATTTGGGATGGGCTCCACTCTGTGCAGTGGGATGTGGAGGTGGGAGCAACAGAAGGGGAAAAGCTGAGTCGTTAAAGTGGCTTATAAAATAGGGAGAGGGGATTCTGGCTAGAGCAGATAATGGTACGAGAAGGAGAAGGGTTTTTAATTGGGAGAGGGGAGATTTTGATGAGATACTGGGAAGGAATTCTTCCCTGTGAGGGTGGGGAGACCCTAGCACAGGGAGCCCAGAGAAGCCCCTGGATCCCTGGCAGTGCCCAAGGCCAGGCTGGACAGGGCTTAGAGCAGCCTGGGACAGTGGAAAGTGTCCCTGCCCATGGCAAGGGGTTGTAATGAGATTATCTGTAAGGTCCCTTCCAGCCCAAAGCATCCTGTGATCCTACAAGCCCAAAGTGGCTGTAAACCCACAGCACAGAGGGCTTTGCTTTGCATCCCACGCCCTGTGTTTGCTCCCCACAGAACCTGTGGTTTGCCAACCCTGGGGGCAGTAACAGCATGCCCAGCCGCAGCCACAGCTCGGTGCAGAGGACGCGCTCGCTGCCGGTCCACACGTCCCCGCAGACCATGCTGATGTTTCAGCAGCCAGGTAGGCACCAGGGGGGCTTTTCCACTCAGCCACAGCCAGGTGAGATGGGAGGAGCTGTACTGGTGTCTCCCCATGGGCACATGGCACTCCCACTGGGGTATCTCTGAATTCCTGGGATAACCATGCACATTCCTGGAGGGAATTCTGACCCTCTGTGTGCCAGCTTGACTCTGTGTTACAGTGCTGGTGCCTTGCCTAGCTCATTTCTGAGGGGCTCCTGTCAGGAGGGAAGGTGGTGGCTGATCCATCACTTTTTCCTGATGGATGGCCCCAGCCCCGCTGCGGAAGAACTGCCTTCATGCACTCAGGGGAAATTCCTTCCACAGTGCGTGTGAAGGGAAATGCTGCTGTGTCCGTGCTTCCTTCCCCAGCACTGCCAAAGTGCTCCTGTGTATGGGAGCATCCTCTGATTCAGGGAGGATCCCTCTGACCTTGGACCCTGGACCTGGAGCATCCTGGCCCTGAGGAAGCCTCTTTGTGTATCCCTTCCTTAGCTTTGAGCCTTTTCCTCCCAACACCCCATCACCATTTACACCTCAGGACAGGGAATCCATCCCCCAGTGAGCTCTCCCTCATCGCTGCACTCCTGCTGCTTTGGGCTGGCAGCCAGTGGTGTTAAACTGCAGCATTTGGGCAGCAAATGTTCCCTTCAGCAGGAGCAGCAGCTGTTCCCAGGTATTGATTAAACACCGGGACAAGGGCACATTTCTCAGGCGCTGGAGGAGAATAAATGGGTTTCTCTTCGTGTCAGCCTGCGGTGGATGAGGGCGTAGGAGGATCTGGGAGCCAAAGACGTGGATTAAGTCTCAAGGAAAACAAGCAATGATGTGATGCTGGGCTCACAAACCACTGTTTGCCAGGCTGTGGGGGGACCTCAACCCTCCTGGATCTCGTCCCATGTTCCTGTGAGCCAGTGGAGAGCGGGAGATGCCTTCCAGCACAGTAGCACAAGCTGTATTTGCAGGTTTTGCTGCAGGGTGGGGAAAGTTCACTGCTGTTTAGATGAGGACAGGGGTGTTGGAACGCTCCAGACTTCATGTGTGTGTCCCCTTTTTGTGCTCACCCGTCAGGGATGTGGCAGTGATGACGTGGGTGGCTGAGCGGGGGCCAGGCTGCTCCCAGAGAAGCCAGGCAGTGGCTGTGCTGGTCTGTGCTGCCATCCCATGTCCAAGCATGGACAGTATCCATCCCCAGGAGGTGACCAGGGCTGCCCCCTCCCTGGGTGGGGTTTGCTCATGCTCCAGCCGCCTCTTACATCTCTTATCAGCACCTGAACCCCCTCAAGATTCATCCTTTCTGGACAACAGGGGATGATGACTGCTTCTGTGAGTGTCTCTTGCTGAAGATGATTTTTCTGGCAGTCCTGTCAGACCCTCCTGGGGCATTTTTCAGATGATTTTCCCACACAGAGCAGGCAGGCAGGGTTCCTGCCAGATCCCTGACCAGGACCTCTTATTCCCTTTGTCCCTGCAGAGTTCCAGGTGCCGGTGACTGAACCTGACATCAACAACAGGCTGGAGTCCCTGTGCCTGAGCATGACGGAGCACGCACTCAGCGGTGAGCATTCCCTCCTCCTGGGGCTCTTCCAGCACGTCCACGCCTCCTCTGCTGAGCCCCCCAGCCCCTGCCCAATGCCCCCCAAAAGCTGGGACAGGCTGTGGCTGTGAGAGCAGCAGGGGCTGGATGCAGGGATGCTCCCGGGGCTGCTCCCATGGGAACCTTGGCTTCTCTCGGCGCGGCGGCCGGGGCAGGGGGCGAAGCCGAACGCAGGGATCGCACCAGCACCAGTGGAGTCTGTGCTAATTAGCCACTCTTCAGCTTGCTAATGATAATTAGTGTTAGCTCGCTACTCTCGTTAGCTCTCGATGAAGCCCCTGCCGCCAGCGCGCTCGGATGGGTCACGGCTTTGGAGCGTTGTGCCCTCCTGCCACCAGATCCCTCCTCTGGCCAGGGTGAACCCCTGCCAGGCTGTGCCAGGGGCTGTGCCAGGGGCTGTGCCGGGCACCGTGCCCTGGTGCTGGCAGGCCTCACACAGCCGGGGGTGCCAGCGGATAACGGGCACGGGGGGGGAGGAGGAGCGGGGCAAAACCAAGCAGGAAAGATGGAAAGGCAGCAGCAGCAGCAGAGCAGTGGAGAGCCCGATGCAGCAGAGCCCCAGAAGCTCCCGGTGTCCAATGGAGCCCCAGGCACAAGGGATGGCCCCGGCGATGGGACGAGCGCGGCCGCCCGGAGTCCCCAGTGAGCAGCTCGGGTCTGCTGCGGAAATCCTGCCTGGACTGTGACCCGTGGCTGAGGACAGGAGCCCTCGGAGAGGACGAGTGCCACCAGGCTCCCTGCAGATGCAGCAGCCCTTCCTGGGGAGAGGAACGGGAGAACAAGGACTGTGGGAAGCAGCAGGGCCCTGGCAGCATCCCTGGCTGGGAACACAAGGACACTTCTGTCACCCGAAGCGTTTCTGCGGCGCGTGCCCAGCCGAGGCTTAGCTGTCTTGTTCCTCTGCAGGGTACTGTTCCTCCAAGTTATTTTTTTCCAGGTCGCATTCCCCGAGCCTCTCCAAACCGGTTGTGCTATAAATAGCTCTTAAAAAAATAAACCTTTCGGGGGAGAAAAAAAAAAAAAAAGGCGTAACAAACCTGTTTGTTTTTAGTGTCAAGGAGGGAGGTGGCTGTGGTGCCCCAGGTGGTGACAGGGAATTCTCTGTTCCACAGCCACTCTGGGAGCTGCCTCCCGCCACTCTCCATGCTGGGGATGGGTTTGGGATGGGGGATGAGGGGTGGGATCAGGGCTGGAGGGTGGGAAATGCTGATGGGTGCTGATTTCTGCCCCTGGGGGTGGGCACAGGGGGCTGCTGGTACTGGGGTCAGTTTTTGGGGTGGGTCATGGACCCCTTGTTCCCGGGGTTGGGCTGTGGCTGGATGCATCCCTGCTGTCACAGGGAGCTGGGAACGGGCTCTGGGGACACAGAAAGGATGCCTGGGGGCTTTGTGTCCTTCCACAATCCTCAGATGGAGGAAAATTCTGCATCCTCTGCGGTGCAGCTGTTGCAGGGTTGGGTGAACTGTGGGCGAGGCAGCCCCTGGGACCAGCTCTGTCCCTGTGCCCTGACTCCTGGTCAGGGACACATGAACTTGTCACGCTGTAGGAGAGTCCCAGACTGTCACCTGCCTTGTGACGAGTCCAGGCTGCCCAGAAGCCCCCTCTGCTCCTGGGAAAGTGGTTGTGGGGCTGTGGCAGAAGGCCTGGACTGGTGTTGGGACAGCGACCCGGGGAAGCTGCTGTGGGCTGGGGACAGTTGGTGGCACAGAGGGACCAGCAGAGCACTGACACCCCAAAACCTTTCTGCACCCCTTGGGGAGATGGGAGGTGGTGGGGGTGGCCCCAACACCGCCTCACTGTAGGGGCTGTGGGTTGGGGGTGCTTTGGGGGGGTCCATCCCCTAAATGCCCAGCTTGGGGGTACCAAGCTGCTCCTAATTCTCCCTTCCCACTTGCAGATGGTGTCGACAGAACCTCCACGATCTAGAAGGCGTCGCCACGGGGACGCTGGGCGGGACAACAACTGCTGCGGGTCCAGCGGCGAGGTCGGGGCTTGAGGGAGCCTCAGCGATAGCTTGCATCCTTTCTCCTCTCTCCTCTCCTTTCTCCTCTCTCTATCTCTCTCCTGTTTTAATTTTGTGAATGTGTAGATTGTCCTTGTGAACATATCATTAGACTTGGAATTTGTGTTGTCATTTATTACATCCATGCTAAGGGGGGGGGAAAACGATGGCAAAAAAAAATGAAAAATCTCAGCGACGACGATGAAGCAGCACGGGGAGGTTGGGCTGGACATGGAGGAGGAGGAGGAGAGTGCTGACAATGGAGGGCTCACCGTGGGCAAACCCTGCTCCTGGACAGGATGCCAAGGAGCACGGAGCACCACGTGCGGGTGTGTGACCAAAAACCCTTTGGGGAGGATCCCTGCCCTGCCAGGGCTTTGGGGCCGGCTGTCCCTTCTCTCGAGTTCTGCTGCTTTCGGGTGCGGGCTGACCCGGCGAGCCCAGATCGGAACAGAAATAATCAAATAACCCCAACATTTCCTTTCAGTTCAGCCAAGAGATGTGCAGTGTGGAGGGTCAGGGGGTGCCTCTCCCTGCGCCCCAGTTGGATTGGGATGCGGGATGGAGCGGGGGCATCTCACCCAGAGGAGGGTCCTGGGGGAGTCTGTGAATTTGGGAACACTGGGAGACGTTCCTGCATCTGGCTCCACACATCTGGCCCAGCCTGCCCAAATCCAGCCGTAAGGGGCTTTTCCAGCATGGCCAATGATGGATGAAGGAGCCCCCAAATAAAACCCAAGTCACAAAGGGCACCCAAATGCAGCTTCACAGCCTTGTTTTCTTGGCATTACCCGTGGGGCTGGGCTGCCCCTCACCCACTGCTGCTTTTTATAACAGGAGCTAAATTTGGTGTTAAATTGGTAAATCTGACCCAGCACTGCTCTGACCTGCAGTGATGCTCCCCCCAGTCCCAATGCTGCTCCGAGTCCTTCAATGGAATAATAACAAATATAAAATCAATTAATTGAGCTGATGGGTGGCAGCAATATTTCCAAAATGGGCTGTGAGGAGGACATGGGCAGCATTGTGTGCCAGGATCAGAGGGAGCAGGGCTCAGGGGGAGCCAGAGCATGGGCAGGGCTGGGAGACGTGTGAACCCTTTTGTCATGCAGCGTTTTTAAGTTGTTTTTCTAAAAAAAGAAAAAGAAATATATCTATCTATATATATATATATATGTATACAAAAACCCAAGTGCCAAATGCAGTGTTTTATGTTTGCTGTTCCTTGGTGTCCTGCTTCCCGGCAGACAGGAGGTTGAGGGGGGTGATGGGGAGGGTGGAGAAGGGAAAACCCGAAGGCCAGGGAGGTTGGGAAGAGGTGTGAGGAGGTGAAGGCAAAGCAGGGTGGGCGCTGGGGACCTGGGTCACCCCCGAGCACCCCCGGCTTGTGAGGCGTGAGCAGAGCCACCGTGGCAGGAGCCTCCCTCAGGGAGACTCCAGTGTATTTACAGAGCTGAAATTCTATTTATTCCTTCGCTGACTATGGACACGGAGGTTTTCTGATTGTTCAGAGAGATTATTTTGGATATTTTACCTATTAACTTGCTGTGGCTGGGAACCATGATAATGTCTGTTATTAACAACCACCAAATAATTCAATTGTTTTATCCTTTTGATGTTAACAAAAAAAAAAAGAAAAAATGCTTATTTTCCATTGACAGTCTAGAGGTTAATAACGACTTAGTTGTGTTTGCTGTTTCTTGTTTTGTTTTTTTGAGTAAAAACAACAAAAAAGTGGCTTCAGTTGTGTTGGGGAAGTGCTGCCTGGCTCTGCCTGCCGGTGCTAAGTGCAGGTGGCAGAGCTCCAGGGAAAGAAGCTTAAAAGGGAGGGGGAAAAAAAAAAGTTTGAATCCTAAAAGAAATAAAAGTTATTTATAGAAAGAAAAAAGAAAAGAAAACAGAAACTCCTCCGACAGTTGCATGAGTGAAGTCAAATATTCAGTAATAAAGCGGCAGTGCCTTTCTTTTTGTACCCCCGCTGCTGTCCCCTCCCTGTCCTGTCGGAGATGTCACCAACGCGGGGTCCCGGGGGTCAGGTGGGCAAATCCCCCCCTGTGCTGCCCCCAGCGCCGCCGGGACCCTCTCCTGGTGCTGTTCCCTGGCCAGCCCAGCACACACAAGTGCCCTTGGGCCCGGTGGAAGGGACACAACCCTGTCCCTTTGGTGTCCCCATCCCCGGGGACACAACCCTACAACCCTGTCCCTTCAGTGTCCCCTTCTCTGGGGACACAACCCTGTCCCTTCAGTGGGGACACAACCCTGTCCCTTCAGTGTCCCCATCCCTGGGGACACAACCCTGTCCCTTCAGTGGGGACACAACCCTGTCCCTTCAGTGTCCCCATCCCCTGTCCCTTCAGTGTCCCCATCCCCAGGGATACAATCCTGTCCCTTCGGTGTCCCCATCTCCAGGGACACAACTCTACAATCCTGTCCCTTCAGTGTCCCCATTCTTAGGGACACAACCCTGTTCCTTCAGTGTCCCCATCCCTGGAGACACAACCCTGTCCCTTCAGCGGGGACACAACCCTGTCCCTTCAGTGTCCCCATCCCTGGGAATGCAAACTTGTCCCTTCAGTGTCCCCATCCCCTGTCCCTTCAGTGTCCCCATCCTTAGGGACACAACCCTGTCCCTTCAGTGTCCCCATCTCTGGGGATACAACCCTGTCCCTTCCGTGTCCCCATCCCCTGTCCCTTCAGTGTCCCCATCCCCTGTCCCTTCCGTGTCCCCATCCCCGGGGACACCCCGAGCTCGGCTGCGCTGGGGTTGAGTTCAGCTCAGCAAAACCCCCCCGAGGGGTTTAGGGTGGCGGCATCCAGCAGGGAAAATCCCAAACTGTGGTGGAAGCTGGGTCAGCACTTAGGGAAGTGATTTCTGTTGTCACCTTTCTCCATGTCGGGTTTGGCTTTGGGAATGTGCCTGGTGGAAAGGGGGTGGCTCCCGCAGACGTCTATAATTTGCACACAGCGACGATAACACTAAAGTTGATTTTATACGAGTCATCAGAGTTTGCAAAGTGAGTTTTATTTTTTGTATTCCTTTATCTTTACTTAAAGGTGAATGTGTATTCCTCTGGGAGGAATAGGAAGAAAAAAAAACAAAAAAGAAAAATACATTAAAAAAAACAGGAATGTTAATAATGTTAAACAGAATACTTCCTCCCTTATTAATATATATAACCCTGATGTATTTATGCCTATTGTAAGCTGACTTTAAAGAGCTTTGACCTCTCTTCTGTTGCATGCTGTTCCCGGGCAGCCTCTCCTTGTCCATGCATGCCTTTTGTCCTGGTTTTTCTGTACAAAGTTAGTGCACAAAAGAACTATTTTTGCCTAGTTAATGTTGCCGAGCAATGCCTATTTTTTAAATTTTAATTTCTTTTTTTGTTGTTTTTTTTTGTCATATACGGCAATAGCATGTTTGTTACATGTAAAAGCTTCCCGATATAAAGAAATACTAATGTTTGGAGATGCCAGTCTTTGCAAGTGTACAGTTTTCCAATGTTGTTCCCAGTGAAACACCCTCGTGATTTCCACTTGCTCCCATGTATTTATTACTCATTTCCTCCCGTGTAACTAGGAACCATGGCTATATTTCATATCTGCTCTATATTGAAAGTGAAGGGAGATGATTAATACAAGGTTTTGTAACACTGGGGTGTGGCGCCTCCTTATTTATCCCCTCCTTGGCAGCTGGCTTTGGACTCCTTGAGGCAAAAAAAAAAAAAAAATCAGAATTCAATAGATGTTCATCCCGTGGGCAAGAGGGGAGGAGCCCTCCACAGTTCCACAGGGGGTTGGGATCTTTATTGAAACCTGTGGCAGAGCTTCCCAATCCCTGGCACTCCCCATGCAGCTGCTTTGCTGTCCCTTTGGGGACATCCTTGCCCCTGGAACTGTTCAGATGCAGGATTTTCCTTGGAAACCAGCAGGAATTGGGGCTGGGGCAGCTCAGAGGCTGCAGAGGCACACAGGGGCTTGGCCCAGAGCCTCAATGTGTGTGTGGAGAATTTTGGGGTGGGAATTTAAAGCTGGGTTCTTTCTGAGATTAAACGCTGCACATTTCAGGCCCTCCTGGGGCTGGATCAAGCAGGGAAGGATGCTCAGAGCTGGTGCTGCAACTTCCCGTGGATACTCTGCTGTGGGAAGTGCCAAGGGCAGCACCTTCTACCCCTGGTTTTTCCCATAATTTCTCAAACTGAGCCTCCACATCTCCAGGCTGACCAAGGCCAGCCCTGCAGGCTCCTCTCTGCCCCATCAGCCTGGCCATTCCTGCATCCAGGTGCAGGGATGTCCTCCAGAGACCTCCTGGATGTCCCAACCCTGCTCATTGTCCCTCCACAGGCACCAGGGTGGCTCAGGTCCCCACGAGGAGCAGAACTTGCAAACACATTCAGGGTTTATTCAGGTTGTTTGAACCCTTCATCTGCTGCTTCTCCTAGGATGAGGCTCCTGCTGAGCTCTCCAAATGCTGATGGTGCCAAGGCCCCAAAACCAAGTCCTCAAGCTCCTCCTATTTGGGATGCTCCCAAGCATTTTGGGCCAGGCCACCCCAGAGGGGAAATATTTGCCATATATAAATAATAAAATAAATTCAGTCCCACCTGAATTCCCTGTCCATCCACAGCCCATGGCCATGGGTTCCTGCACTCGTGGGGAATTGGCCTCCCAACACAGCTCAGACAAACCCAAATCCCCAAAAAAATCCATCTCCTTCCAAACAATTTGCCTTTCCAGGTTCCTGTGCTGCTGACCGGATCTCTCAGCGCAGGGTTGTTGCACAAACAGAAAAAGGAAAAGGCAGAAACACCTGGGTTGGAAAAGTGGAGTTGGAAGGGCCAAAAAGGCTCCAAGGCAATTCATGGCAGCCACAGGTCAGGGAGAGTCTGTGGGTCCTGTGCCTGGAAAAAGGAAAGAGCCTTTAAAAAGAAAAAACAGGGTGAGAAAAAAACCCAACATTTCCATGCTGCCAGAAGCTGTTGGGTGACTCCATTGCAGACACTGAAGGCTTTACCTGCTGGTGCACCTGGATTCCACCACACCTGAGCCCCGTCCAGCCCAGGGAACTCTGATCCCCTTCAGATGGCAGCCCCTGCCCAGCTGGGAGCAGAGCCAGGAGCTGCCGGGCTGTCAGGATCCCAGCAGGAGCTGGATAACCCCACATGTGTTAACATCATCTCTTATTCCATGTCTGCCTATTCCAAAAGGTGGTGGAGAAGCAGCCCCAGCCCTGGAGCCAGGCAAGTGCCCCTTCCAAGGGGATGCTCCTGCCCCTTCTCCTCGCCTGGATCCTGCTGTGGGTACAAATTCCTCATTTTTAACGCTGACTGGGATATCCCAGGGAACAGCCTACCCAGCAGGCAGGGATTTCCCACTCCAGGGAAGTTTTTATGCAAGATGCAGAGGGCTTTTCCAGCAGAGCTCCTCGGGATCGGGGAATAATGAATTCCCCACGTCTGCTGGCTGTGCCAGAGGCAGGGTGATGCTGCTGGCCTGGCTGCCAGCCAGGAATGCTCCAGGATACACAAATTCCCAGCTGCTCTGGCAGCCCCGGCCAGCAGAGTGCCCTCTGCCACCAGCAGGAGCTGCTTTAGCTGGGATCAGCAAAGGGATCAGGAATGCACCCCTGGGATGGGCACCGTGGGACAGGGATGGGATCAGCCCGGGCACCCACAGAGCTCCCCTGGCTTCTCCCAGAGCCCAGCACAGGGGCCTGGAGCAGCAGAACGGTTTTAAACTAAAAGAGGAGAGATTTAAATGAGTTAGGAAGGAATTTGTTACTCAGAAGGTGCTGGAGCCAGGGCACAGGTTGTCCCCAGAATCTGAGGCTGCTCCATCCCTGGAAGTGTTCAAAGCCAGATTAAACAGGGCTTGGAACAAGCTGGGATAGTGGATGGTGTCTCTGCCCACAGCAGGGACTGGACAGAAGATGATCTCCTTTTTTTTTTACAGCCAAAACCATTCTGTGTTTCTGTGATTTTCCCTCTTTATGGAAACACCCCATGGACAGAGCCTGCTCAGCCAAAATCCCCTCTTATCTAAAGAAAATCGATTTTTAGCTAATTTTAAGTAATAATCATTTTTTTAATACCTCATCCTGGCATGCAGCCTCTGCTTTTGCACACACCAGCTCCATCCCCACCCCCGTCCAGGGGCAGCACAGGGGGTGTTTGCAGCATCGCCCAGCACTGGGGTGCAGTGCAGGGTGATGATGGTGCCCCTCTCCCATCCCCACTCTGGCGTTCGGGTGATCCCTGGGCTTCCCAAAAATGCCTTTCCAGCCCCAAGGAAGCTCCTGCGGCGAGCAGAGCTCGGGGCGGGCTCAGCAGGGGGAGCCGCAGACTGTGCACGGAGCCG